AACTATGTAAAAACCACTTAGAATTTTTTGTGGGTTTTTTTTTTGGTCTCCAGCACCACCTGGTTTTGCAGGCTTCTGAAGCATGCATAGCACTGTTTTTTGACTGGTTGCAGCTGAGTCCAAAGAAGATGGTAAGACTATACAAAAGTCAAGTTACTAAACCCAGGAAGAGATTAAAACTAAGGGCTTAAATTGAGAAAGGCTTCACGGGTTAGAGGTGGGGGTTAATAGAAATGTTCTGGGAGGGAGTGATGAGCATTAGGGGGCAGATATTCCTGCTAAAGGAAGCCTTGGAAAACACAGTGACATCCACAGCCAGGTTTTCACACCCTCAGATACAGATCACTTCCCAAAAGCCCCTGGCCCCATTTTTCTTCCAGTTTCAAGTCTCACTTGCTGCTTCTTTGCAGAACTGGAAAGGGGAAGCGAGAAAACCATCTGCTTAGACTGAGTGACTAACAGTGTACAGTGGTACCTCGGGTTAAGTATTTAATTCGTTCCGGAGGTCCATTCTTAACCTGAAACCATTCTTAACCTGAGGTATCACTTTAGCTAACGGGGCCTCCTGCTGCCGCCATGCCACCACCACGCAATTTATGTTCTCTTCCTGAAGTAAAGTTCTTAACCCAAGGTACTATTTCTGGATTAGCGGAGTCTGTAACCTGAAGCATATGTAACCTAAAGCGTATGTAACATGAGGTACCACTATATGTTGCTGTAACCTTTGATGGAATACAGTGCCCTTCATCGGATGCATGAAGCTGTTATACCAAGTTGCTTTCATGCGCAAGCACACAAGAGAGGAGAGGAAGACTGTAAGCAGCATGGTCAGGAAGAAATGAAATGTTGTGAAGCGCAAGCAGTGAGAATTACATTAACCGTGCCCATTCACACACACAACATTATTGATAACGCAACCATCCTAGTTCAGCAGAGAAGTGTAACATAATTTAATGAACTTCTACGAATTTGCCAAAAGACACCTAAATACTTCCACAGAATTATTCACAGACTATTCAGTCCCTAACAGTTCTGGGTTCTCCCGAGGAGTTAACATAGCAATGCCAGTCACAGATTCTTGCCGTGTGCTGGGGCGACCTCTATACACACACATGTACAGTTGTCTCGCCTCCCCCCCTCCATCCGGCCCCCTAATAAAGTAAAAACAATTGTATGATAGAAGCTAGGCAAAAGCCTCCTCCCCAAGTGAGGGGAGCCCCCCCTGCCTAAATTCAACACAGCATTTTCCCTCCTCCTTTGCCATTAAGCTGTGACCTCCCTCAAACCCCTGCTGTAAATCTAAGCTGTCTTCTTCTTATCTGGAAGGGTCAGGCAAGGGAGACGGTCTCCCCCATTCCTCCTCTGTCCAGTCCCTGACAGACAGAGGCTACACAAAAGCCCCCTGCCCAAGTGAGAGGAACCCCCCCTGCCTAAATTCAGCACAGCACTTTCTCGCCTTTCCAGAACTCCTTTATTCCACACACCCCCACAGACAACCAAGATCCACGCTCCAGAAGCAAGCACTTATGCGGCTTCCCAATTCCCGCCTCCTCAGTCACCTTACCTCTTCTTCATTTAAACAGAGGTTGGATGGCCATCTGTCCTGGATGATTTAAATGAGATTCCTGCATTGCAGGGGCTGGACTAGAGGACTCTCGGGGTCCCTTCCACCTCTACAATTCTATGATTTCAACATCTCCCACCCACCAGACCTGCTTCCAGTCTAGAATCTGTTCATATTGGGTTCTAAAGATTCTTATCTCCGGGACTAGGCAGAAATCCTTACCTCTCGATGAAGAGCATGTGGCGTTCCTCCTCCTCCTCCTCCTCACGTTTTTCAGGATGGGCCACTTTACTCTTTCCTCTGAGTTCTTGCCACGATGTGAAAACCTACTGGCTGAACAGCAGAGGCCCTTCAATAGTAGCTCATGTCCATTTGCAGCTAGCAGTCTGGGGCAAACCACAAGCTTGAAAGGGGCATTGCAACAATCTGAACTTTCAGTTTTGAAACACGTGGAAACTGATCTAAACGTTAGCCGCAGCTGTTGAAGCAGTTGCTCACCAAGTAGCCAAACGAATCGGTGCAATGAGCAAAATGCCCCAGAATCCACAACATTCTACCACAGAATTACTCAATCTGGAAGTCGCGAAGAGTTGGGTCTCTCCCGTCAGAAAACTCCAGGAACGCGTCCTGTGCCTTTGTTGTAGCTGCTGCAGCCACTGGAAGAAAAAACGGGGGCCGGGGAAGCACAACGCTTGATATTATAGTGACTGCAAGGCTTGTTTGTTTTTTAATGCAGTTATTGAAAACCCCTTGGAGCTCAACATTTGTTGTTGGAAAAGCGGGGTGCAAATATTAAAAAAGAAAAAACAGCTGCAATCCTAAAATGAGAAACGCGTGAAAACCATGATGAACGGTTCCTATACATTTAAGTTATAAAAGCAGGGGGAAAGAGCAGCGTGTCTTCCTTGAGGCCCTTCAGGGTAGCCTGGGGGAAAATGTACAGGCGCTGAGGCGCAGCTGTCGAAGGAAAACCGTTGCTGTTATCTTGAGAAATGCACCAACCGTCACTACCCTTACTTCCCTGGGAGTAAGAGCTGAGTAGGCGCGGCTAGAATTGCTCTGCTCATAGCTTTATAGTAGTGGGTTTTCCACACAAACATGCACACAATTAGCATTTGGAAGCATTCCAGAATAAATAGCATCTACAGAAAGGAAGGAAAAAATGAGATTCTGCAGGGTGGGTTAGAGTTGCCTAAACACGAATGGTTTAGGAATTGAAAGTTTATAGCGCAAACACACTCCATGTGCCAGCTGCGCAACAGATGGAAATTCAGTCAAACCACGTGGCAAAGACAAAGAGCCTCTGCTGCACATTACCATACTTAGCAATTCACTGATAAATGTACCTATGTACTGGCTCAGTCGGAAAACTATCTAACCAGACCATTTCTGGGTTAGGGTTAATTTTAGGACTGGGTTAGTGTTAGGGTAAGAATTAGAATCAGGTTTGGGTTGGGGTCAGTGTTTTATGTTTTCTTGTGATTTTGATTCATTTGCGGTTGGTTTGCTTTTTCAATTTGTTGTGTTGCTGCTTTTTCACAAGTTGCAAGTTTGCTGGCTTTCTGGAAATTTTAGTTTTAATTTTGAATGCTCAGCTGGGGAGCTAAGCCTCCCCTCTTCCCAGCTGAGAGATTCCTGGCTGCCTTCAGGTGGTGCCACTCCCGGGCTGCCTCCACCTTCCCTGACCCCAGCAACTATTCAGCCTGGCTACCTTCAGGGAAAGTGGAGGCAGCCCGGAAGCTGCATCTGAGAGCCCCTGCACCATCTGAAGAAAATGGAGTTAATGTTAAATTGTGCATGATAAAAATACCACACCAGTTTTTAATTTGGTGGATCCTTGGAGCTAAGGGAAAAAGAAACAGGAATTCGGAAGCCCCGATTGAAACCGACCCAAATGGCTGATTTCCTGCCATGGCTGCTGGCTGCTTTCCCAGAACACCAGACCCCAACCATGCAGATTTTCAGGGGTAATTATCCTTGCTGATCCCCCCCCCCAGGGTAGGGGGGGACTGGCCATCACCCGCAGTTCATCCGATAACTGCCGCTCACTACAGAAGGGATGCTGGATGAGGCTGCACTGCATGAATTGGCAACTCTCCAGAGTCATCGCCATGAGTGGGGGAGAGCCCTGTTTCCTAAAATCATTAAAATTTGGACTAAGAAACAGGCGTGTTCTGGAAAGGAGGAGATAAAAAAACCCCATGCTAATTAAATCAGTCACTGGATGCCAGAGCTTTGATTTGAAAAGGACTTTCATCGTGGTGCTTCATCATGAGGTGAGCACCTATATCTTTTTCTACATTTGCTAATCACGACTTTCCGAACCTTGCAAGAAAGGAATTCAATATTTAAGTTGCGTGGCTCTCGGCGGAGAGCCCCAATTAGAACTGGCAAACCAAGATCAGATATGAAGAGGCTTGGGATGAAAAAAAATGGCGGCTATGGCATAGAAGAAAAAGAAACAGCCTCCCCCCCGACATTTGGACACAAGCAGGGAATATTTCACATTAAAAAACTGCATTTGGTTGCATGGATTTCCTTTCCCTTTTCAATATATGGTGTAATGTGAATGCAAATGTGAAATTTTGATTTGGCTCGCTTCCCTAGGACCCGGGGAATCGGGCATGCATCCTTAGATGAGCTAAACTAAACAGTCACCAAACAATTAGTATGGAATTGGCGGAAATGACTGGTAGAATCCGTGACCAGGGAGAAGAGTCGATGGAGGAAGACTGGAAGAAATTCAAAGACTATCTTCAGAAACACTGCAAAATTAAGGAATGTTAGAGTGATGTTGGACTGAAAACAAGTGGTTTCCAGCTGTACAGGTTAAAGTTAAGGATAGATTAAGATTAAAGATCAAGATTAAAGATGTTTAAAGAAATGGAAATTTGACAATAAAAGGGAAAAATTTAAAGTTATATGACATTAAGATCAAGGATTAGGTTTAAAAAAGTTGAAGTTATATATCTTAACGTTTTATTAAATTAAAGATTGGGATTAAAAAAGTGGAAAAGAAACTGCTGGACAAACAATGTAGTTTGGAATACAAAAGAGGGAGGTATGAGGAAGTCCAGAAAATAAGTAATTTAAAATTGGAAATGGAAAAGAGAGTTTGTTTTTAATTGCTATGTCTTGTGTTTTTATTGCTAAGTTTTGTATTGTTTTTTGTGTGTGTTGTTTTTCTTTTTTTGTTTGTTTAAAACTTTAATAAAAAATTATTAAAAAAACAAAACAAAGCAGGGCAGGATCAGCCAGCCAAGCTCCTCACTTTACGGCCAGGCAGGTGCCAGCAGGGAACACTCTGCCACTGCGCTATTCACATGCGTTCCAGGTGCCAAGTGAATTGAGCTGCATTATCCTAACTTGTCAATACCAATTTATTGTTGTAGGGGAGACATTTGACCCTTGCCTGACTCTATATTTTGTGCTGCAGGATGAAAGTCATTGGAGAAGGAAAATGTGCCTATTGGAAAGCGCAAGATGGCAACGCCACAGCCTCAAGGTGCACCTCAGCACATCAGTGGATTTGCAGCAAATCTAAAAGTCACGATGAAATATGAATGAAAAACGTGTTAAAGCTAGTAAACATAGTTTCTTCCTCCATAGTGTTGCGCTATGGCTACCAACATCCCTGTCCATGCTGGCTGTGGTTAATGGGTGCTTGCATCTTGTTCGCCACCCACCCCTGTGTTATACAGAGGTACCTCTGGTTATGAATTTAATTCGTTCCGGAGGTCCGTTCTTAACCTGAAACCGTTCTTAACCTGAGGTACCACTTTAGCTAATGGGGCCTCCCGCTGCCGCCACTGGTGAGCGATTTTTGTTCTCATCCTGGGGCAAAGTTCTTAACCCGAGGTACTACTTCCAGGTTAGTGGAATCTGTAACCCGAAGTGTTTGTAACCTGAGGTGTTTTTAACCCGAAGTACCACTGTATAGGGATGCCATACGACCCAATTTCCTCCGAAAATGGCATCCTGGATAATTGTTCGAAAATTGGGCAAATGTCCTGGGAAACTGGCAATGGGGTTTAAATTGTGCCAGAAATGCTTTAGAAAGTTCCAAAAGTGGAAAATAACCCCCACACCACACTGGTTCCCATAGCTAGAGTCTGCAAAAGCAGAGGGACACATGACTCTCAATAAAGGACCAAGCTTATTACTAACACATACACACAGCCGCACGCACGCGGAACCCCATACAGTATTTCCCCACACAGAGGGTGGACCTCTGTGACCTTCCAGATGCCGTTCGACTCCAACTCCCAGCAGCCCTTTGTTAGCATAGCTGTCAACGTTTCCCTTTTTTTAAAGGAAATTCCCTTATTCCGAATAGAAGTCCTCGCAAGAAAAGGGAAAAGTTGACAGCCATGCTTGTCAGGATGCCCAGTGGACAGCGGTGTTGGGAACTCCCGTCCAGTAACGAGAGAGACCCCACAGGTCACTTGAACACACACACAGAGACAGACACACACTTGGGCGAGAATGCTTCTTGCGAGATCTGCCGCCCAACGCAGAGCCAGGCGAGGGGAGATCAGCGCTTCCCATTACTCAACCGCAAGCCTGTGCGCTTTTCTGGGCATCAGGGTAGTCGGAGTCGATTCTCTCTCCCGGCCGAATGGAAGGCGCTCGGGGGCGGCCAGCACTTCGCTCGCTCGGTCCCCTGCTGCCCTGCGCGCTCTGGAGCCGCCGAGCAGCCGACAAAGAGGAGGCGGAGGCGACCCAGCTTGGCAACAAACGGCACTCCGCCAACTTCTCCTCCTGCTCCTCCTCCGCCCTGGAGCTCCTCCTATCAAAGGTGACGAGGAGAGACCAGCAGCGAATCCGGCGCGCCACTTTCCTTTGCAAATCCTTGCAAATTGCAAAGTTGAGCAGCGGGCGGGTGCTGCCCAGAGCTTCCCCGGACATCTCCCGTCTTGGAGAAAGCGCGTGCAAAGCACGGGCCAACCTGTGCAGGTACGGCGATTAAAAACCAGCGAATCGGGAGCGCGGGGGTCTCGACGTGGGGGCGACAGTAGCGGCGGGGACCGCCAGCCACGATTGGGAGGGGGGATGTCGTTGCATTGCAGCGCAGTTATCTCAGCTAAAGCATCCAGGACAGATGGCCTTCCAAGCTCTGCTTAAGAACCTTGCGAAGATCCACTTGCGAAGCTAAGCAAGGTCCGGTATGGTTTCAAATGGGTTGGGGGAACAAGTGGCGACATTCCTGCATCGCAAGGGGTTGGACGAGATGACCCTCGCGGTCCCTTCCAACTCCACGCAGTTTTTCTTGAGAGGAGCGAGAGCACAGCCTTTTTACCTTGTATGGCTACAGGAAAGATGGAAGCCGGATCAAAATCCGAGGAAGAGCATTTGGACACTCCCCACCCGCATGTTGACCTTGAGCAAAGGGAGGCATCAGGTAAGGCATCTCCTTTGCTCCAAGTCTGTGTTCCTGCAGGTGCCGCCTAAACACTTTGCTTCTTTATGACAGCCCTTTGGCTTCAAGACCTGCTTATAGCTCTGCATTGCACTGGACTCTCTGCCTGTGAGGCTGTTGTTTCTGCTCTTCCCAATACTGCCTTACTAGACAGTCCAGGCCATGTCTGCTCAGATGTATGCCTCGCTTTGTATAGTAGAGCTTCTTCTCTTGCAAGCGTGGTTTCCCGTTCGCTATAATGGGAAAATTAAAAGCAGCTACAGCTTTCTCTCCTTTTGGCCAGATCAGGTGACAGCAAAAACTGCAAGGTTTTTAGTGGGGGCAATTAGAATAAGATCTCTTATTTGAGTATTGGTGTAAACCCCCAAAATGTATTTTCTATAGTTAAGTTTTTACCTCTATCTTCAGTAATAATATAATAACAATATTATAATAATTTATTATTTATACCCCGCCCATCTGGTTGAGTTTCCCCAGCCACTCTGAGTGGCTTCCAATATTTTATTTTATTTTATTTATTTTATTTTATTGCTATGGCTAGTGGCTAATGCAAGTAAAGATTCTTCTGCTCTGCTCTGCCTTTTGACCAGAATGAATGAGCTGAGTAGATTAAGCAGATCCAGTGTTTGTTTTTTGCTGGGGAAGTAAAAGGGATTCACTTTCCCCCATGATCCCTTATGAGGGATCCTTATCCAGCCTGCCCTTCTTAAGTTCTCACAAATGCTTATGAGTTTAGCTTTTCTTTTTCCCCCTTTCCTCTGTAGCATCTCCCAAGATCTGGAAATACCTATCATTTAAAGATATTCTCATAGGCATCCTCGTTTTCCTGGTCATCGCACTTACCATTACCATTATAGCAGGTAAGTTTTCTGAACCTCAGTGTTACTCCCTTAAGCTTTTTCTCTTCCCTCTTGGGTCTGAGGTAGCTGCATGCCTTCAGCCAGCTTCTCAAAATCAGAACTTTGGCTATTGCCTGGCTTTCAGCCACTGCCATGTCTGACAGCCTTGCCCCAAATCAGCAGTTCAATGATCCATATTCTTACAAGGACACACTGAGACCATGTGCTTTGGCCACAGATGGGAACATCTGGCATGGGGGGGGGGGAGAGATGCTTAGCCAGAGGGTTAGAGCAGGGGTTGGCAACCTAAGGCCCGGGGGCTGGATCCGGCCCAATCGCCTTCTCAATCCAGCCTGCGGACAGTCCGGGAATCAGCGTGTTTTTACATGAGTAGAATGTTTCCTTTTATTTAAGATGCATCTCTGGGTTATTTGTGGGGCATAGGAATTTGTTCATTCCCCCCCCCCCCAAAAAAAAATAATACAGTGGTACCTCGGGTTAAGAACTTAATTTGTTTTGGAGGTCTGTTCTTAACCTGAAGCTGTTCTTAACCTGAAGCACCACTTTAGCTAATGGGGCCTCCCACTGCCACCACACCGCCAGAGCACGATTTCTGTTCTCAACATGAAGCAAAGTTCTTAACCCGAGGTAATATTTCTGGGTAAGCGGAGTCCGTAACCTGAAGCGTATGTAACCCGAGTTACCACTGTATAGTCCGGCCCCCCACAAGGTCTGAGGGATAGTGGACCGGGCCATGGCTGAAAAAGTCCCTGACCCCTGGGTTAGAGGGTGGTATGGTGGTGAGGTCAGAGCAGTGCGGATGTACCATCAGAGCCTATCTGGCACTCCTGCACAGCCCTGACCTCGCCACCTTCTCAGCGCCCAGATAACACTGGTCAACAACAAATTTGTTGTCTGCGTTTTTTCAGTTGATTTAGGACGAATCTGATGCGCTGAATCCAAAAATCACATTGGTTTTGCTCAATCAGGTCAAGTTTTTGAGCTATGGCCACATGCCTTTTTTTACGTTTTTGTTCACATGTGTGGAGCATTTTAGAAGAAATTGGTGGGGGTAAAATGCCATGCCGATCTGGGCGCTGAGAAGGTGGCGAGGTCAGGGCTGTGCAGGACTGTACTATTTCTGGGTTAGCGGAGTCTATAACCTGAAGCGTCTGTAACCTGAAGCGTCTATAACCTGAGGTACCACTGTATGCCTCTCCAAATGGGTGGATTGGGCAGGTTACCCCAGTTCTCTATTCCTTCCACAGTGACAGCCCCCAGAGAAGCCAAGCAACCGGGTCATCAGCTGGTTCCCTCCGCGCTCTGCAGTCTACCATGTCCACATCACTGGATTGGCTATGCGGGGAAGTGCTATTACTTTTCGAAGAAGAAAAGGAATTGGAACTCCAGCAGAAGCTACTGCGAGTCACACAATGCCTCCTTGGCTAGGATTGAAAGTGAGGAGCAGGTAAGAGAGGGGTCGTTTGGCACCAAGGGGTGATGCTCGTCCCCTCTTAGGGAGCATGATGAAATGAGTCGCCTTATCTATGAAGTTAACTACGCCTTGTAACCTAGAATATCTTGCAGAATTTCAGTGGCTGCTTTAAGGGCAAAGCGACTTTGGTGTTGGAGACAATCTGGAGAAATGATGGAAAGAAAGAAAGAAAGAAAGAAAGAAAGAAAGAAAGAACGAAAGAAAGAAAATTTATAATCCTTGCTTACCAGGCGAAAAAGCACATGGGGCACGGAAAATAATAATAATAATGATTTTATTTACAGCCCATCTGACTGGGTTGCCCCAGCCAATCCGGCGGCTTCTAACATAACATAAAAATACAACTATGCATCACACATTTTTTTAAAAACCCCACTCCTGTCATTTCTCTGCTCTAAATTTCCTACTCCTGGTGCTGCTTCACTTAAAAAAAAAGAAGGTGGGTCACTAAACTCCTGGTTTATATGACATATCATGCAAAGCCCACGAGCAATAAGAATATTATTCTACAGAAAAGTAACTTCCACTGAGTTCAGCAAGGCATAGTCTCTGATAAGTGTGTGTAAGGGGTGGGAGTGGATCCGGCCAAGAGTTCAAATCCTGACTGCCTGTGGGCAACTTTGACAGCTGGGGAGCAAAGGCACAGGGCTTTGCAGGTGCCAACTGATAAAGCCAAGGATATAACAGGTGGATGTGGTTGGGCCAAACAGAGTCATGGGGAAATTAGGACCCAGCCCAGGCCTAGTTGGGTCCATGAACTGGAAGTTTAAAGGATTAGCTACCATTGTATATACACCATGGCAGCCGCTGGGAAGTGAAGAAAAGGATGGGGAAAGAGAAAAGGGTGCTGGAAACAGGGAGAAAGGAGGTTGTTGTGGACTCTCCTTCCTTGGAGATTTTTAAGTAGAGGTTGGGTGGCCATCTGTCATGGATGCTTTAGTTGAGATTCCTGCTTTTGGGGTTGGACTAGATGACCCTCGGGGTCTCTTCCAACTCTACGATTCTGTGACCATTGGCTTTCTCTCCACCCACAACAAGCATGTGGCTTCAAGACATTACCCCAAAGGGAATACAGCCCTTGAAAGAAAAATAGGTTGCCCACTCCTGCGTTACACATGCTAGGGAGTAAGCCCCATTGAACGCATTGAAATGAATTTTATATATTATTATTGTATATTATTATTAATAATAATAACAACAACAACAACAATAAAATTTTATTTATATCCCGCCCTCCCCAGCCGAAGCTGGGCAACAACAATAAAAGTAACACAGTTTACATAAAATCACAATCAATTAATTGAAATGCATTCTAAAATCAATTCATTCTAAAATCAATTCAAAATCAAATTAATGGCCACCATGACTGTTATCATCAACTAGGTGTACTTGCTGACATTTTCATCTGACATGTTGACTGCGTGTTTACTGGCCGAAGTGCTTATCTGTGAATAGCGCAGGGCAGAATTCTAACATCCATTTTCTCTGGTCTTCAAAGGTGTATGTGAAGCGTCTTGCTGGCAACCATGACTTCTGGATCGGTCTCAGAAGAGACCCAGGTCAACCCTGGAAATGGCTAAATGGAGAAAATTCAACGTGAGTCCCTTTCAGTTTTCGGTGCTGAGGCGTCAGCAACCAAAACTTCGCCAATTCACTGTTAACGGGATGGATTCTGTGGCTGTTATTCTTCCCAGTATAATTCTGAATCAGATGTCAAAATTTATGCGCAGCTGAAAGCCAGGCGCAATACCAAAAATACCGAATAAGAAACTCAGTTTCATTGAATCTCTGTAGGTAAACAGTTCCCTTTATCTTTCATAGTTTGCTTTCTTTCATAGATTGCTTTCCCCTACAATAAGTCCAAGCAACGGATGGATTTATAAACAATATTTAAAATAAGAAAGCAATGGCAGACTTTATAGGGATTTGTTTATTATGTTTGGTGTACTGTCAATAATCTTGACGCATTTATGATATGCTGACGGCTGCAACCTTAGATAGAGGAAAAACCTGAAAAATTGTATGAACCACAGTTATGACAAGTGATTGAGGCCTGTTGAAGCATTCATATCTTTGGTCATCAGTTTCATGAAAATCAGCTTGTAGAGGCTCCGAGGGCCTTCTGGAAGTTCCCTCACTGCAAGAAGAGAGATTACAGGGAACCAGGCAGAGGGCCTTGTCAGTAGTGGCCCCCGCCCTGTGGAACGCCTTCCCATCGGATGCCATGGAAAAAAACAGCCATCTGACTTTTAGAAGACACCTGAAGGCAACCATGTTTAGGGAAGTTTTTAATGTTTTGTCCCTTTTTATTTTCATGATTAATATTCTGTCAGGAGCCACCCAGAGCGGCTGGGGAAACCCAGCCAGATGGGCGGGGTATAAATAATAAATTATCATTATTATTATTATTATTATACAGTGGTACCTCGGGTTACAGACGCTTCAGGTTACAGACTCTGCTAGCCCAGAAATAGTACCTCGAGTTAAGAACTTTGCTTCACGATAAGAACAGAAATCGTGTAGTGGCGGCGCAGCGGGAGGCCCCATTAGCTAAAGTGGTGCTTCAGGTTAAGAACAGTTTCAGGTTAAGAACAGACCTCCGGAACGAATTAAGTTCTTAACCCGAGGTACCACTGTATTATAGTAGAGATGTTTCAACAATGAGCTTGTTTCCTTTTATTAAACTCTGCTTACATCTCCATCCTTTTCTGGGCCATTTTATTTTAGTCCGCCAGGTTTTTCTCCCGCCCACCACCTTTGTGCTAGACTTTAGAAAAAGCCTGAAGAAAGATCATCTTGAGCTATGTGCCTGCTGCTTTGATACAGGTTTGTGATGCTTTGTGTTGCAGACTCAGAATTGCAGGAAAAGGTGGGGAATGTGTCCATCTCAACAACGAAGCCATAGCTGTCGCCTCGGGCTGCCACACAGAACTTCCTTGCATCTGCAGCAAACCTTCTGCATGTACAAGTTCTAATTGTTTATCAGCCTCATAGCCCAAACACTGGAGGAGAGCTGGAGTGAGTGAGTAAAGTCAAGAAAATAAGGAGCCAAGATGACGAATGGATGAACTGGGTAGGATACCACCCTAAGTATGGCTAGGAATTTCTTCTTAAATGCAAATACACTCAGAATTTGTACTATTTGGGCAGCCTTGGAGGCTGCTATTAGATACTCCCCAGCAACTGCATTGTGGAGCATCTAGTAGGATGGGGTACAATTTAAACTAATTATCTCGTATTTGAAAAATACTCAGCCATGCAGTTAGAATGCTTAGAAGGAGTGATACTAAAATGAAATGGAAATGGAGTTCATCGTAAAGGAAAGGACAACGTGCACTTAGAATTTTGCCATGTAATATATATATATATATATATATATATATATATATATATATATATATATAAACATATTATTTTCAACAGTAATTAAACATACTTTTAGATCTTCAAATTTTTGACTCCCATCAATCCTGTCTGAAAATCTTCCAATCTAATCTCTCGGTATGCATTTCTTCCCTATTACATTTCAAACTCATAACCAATATCTCTATCTTTTTCTACTTTGTAACACTGCGTATATTTCTCCTTACAAAGCTTCTTGTAGTCCTACTAGCGTAATTTGTTGATCACAGTTGCTCTTCAAATAATTCATATACTTCTTCCAATCTTCTGTAAATCTCTGGTCCCGCAGGTTTCGAATCCTTTCTGTCATTTTGTCCAATTCTGCATAGTCCATTAATTTCGTCTGCCATTCTTCTTTTGTTGGAATTTCTTCTTGTTTCCATTTCTGGGCTAACAAATGTAATATAGAAGTTTTAGGCTGAATTCTGAAGGTTTGTAGTAAGTGACAGCGCTGAGACACTTTGGTGTAGTGGTAAGAGTGTTGGACTAGGACCTGCGAGACCAGGGTTCAAATCCCTGCTCAGCAATGAAATTCGCCACGAGACCTTGGACCAGACACTGTCTCTCAGACTAACCTACCTCCCAGGGTTCTAGTGAGGATGAAATGGAGTGGGGAAGAACCCGGTATGCTGCCTTGTGGACACTGACCCGTTGATCTACCCTAACCACATGATAATTATTGTTTCGCAAACTTATTTTTTCTTTATTTGTATAGTTTTGCAACCTAAATATTTGTATTTTTCAGAGTGGACCATGGCTTCTTCAAGCAGACAAAAATGTGTAAACAAACCTGATGCCTTTTGTTGTGTATGTATTGCTACACACTTCTTTGTCAAAGATGAAATATAACACTGTTTGTGAGGCGTGCCTATAAAAGCTATTTTGAAATTCCCTGGGCGACCAAGGCAAGAAATTGGCTCCACATATTGTTTGGCGAGAACCCAAGGATCACACAAGGGACTGCTATTTTGGTTTCCCAGTGGTATCTACAAGCGGTTGCTATTCAGGTACAGTGGTACCTCAGCTTACATACACTTCAGGTTACAGACTCCACTAACCCAGAAATATTAGCTCAGGTTAAGAACTTTGCTTCAGGATGAGAACAGAAATCGTGCTCCGGCGGCACAGCAGCAGCAGGAGGCCCCGTTAGCTAAAGTGGTGCTTCAGGTTAAGAACAGTTTCAGGTTAAGAACGGACCTCCGGAACGAATTAAGTACTTAACCCGAGGTACCACTGTACTTGGTAAAGCCTTTCTGTTGTCCAAGCAAGAAGTTGACCATTTTGAGATCCACACAGATGGTCCAGTTGTGCTCCTCACCATGTTCACTTCCTTCATCTTCAGAAGAGACAAACCCCTTAAAAACTGGAATTGGGAGTTCCTCAGAGTGCGGGATAGGCCTAATTGCTGAAGGAATACTGGGATAGGCGACAGAATGTCAGTTTTTCTTGCCGATACCCTTCATATTGACCAGACAAAAATAGCATAACAAAAAGCATCAGGCTTGTTTACACATTTTTGTCTACTTGAAGAAGCCATGGTCCGATCTGAAAAATATTTGGGTTACAAAACTATAAAAATAAAGAAAAATTAAGTTTGCAAAACAATAATTACCATGTGGTTAGGGTAGATCAATGTGTCAGTGTCCACTTATCCCCAGTGTAAATATGACACACAGACAAAAGTCGGAAATTGAAAGATAACTATAGCACGTACACAAAAATCGATTTCAGATTTGAAATCAGCATTGAGAGAACATCTAAGAACAGTTGAAAAATCTCATGCAAAAGAAAATGGGGAAAAAAATTGTTCCCCAGTTTACTGTGTATCCCAAGTGAATACATTCTTTTGCATACCTCCAATTGTACATAGATATACGTGTCATTTTCAATGCTATACATGTCATGTTCAATGCTATATAAGTCACTTACATTTATACTTATATTGTACTTCTTTGGTTATGTGTTTAATAAAATATTGAATTCTTGCATTGTGAAAAACAGATTATGGTGAAAAGTGAAAAACATGAATTGCAAAAAAAACCTAGAGCTTACAGAACAAAACCAACTTCATATATGAAATCAGCATGTTGAAATTAGGTTAGAACAACTGCAGGTGTCAATGCAACAAAAATTTTGTTTCCCAGTGTTGAACATCACACACAAAAGACATAACACTAGTATTTCTTTTTTTACTAAGTCAGCTCCTTCGAAACAAAACTTTATAATAAATATTGCTTCACAGTATTTTGGCTCTTAGTCCTCCTTTGAAGCGTGCTTCAGCCACTTGTTTTATATTGTCTATAAACCTAGAAATCCAGAACCCATTGTGAGTAGACATAATAAAAAATGCTTGTTCTTTTATTATCAACAATACTTTAAGAATTCAACTTTTGAAGGCTCCCAAATCCCCCACAGAACTCAGAGCTTTAGCCGAAGGCCAAGGCTGCCCAACCTCCCCAAACCACCCCTGTCATCAGAGGAGCTCATCATATTTTGGCCAGGTGACATCAATACCACTCAGCCGATTGGATGAAGAGAAATTGGTCAGGCAGAGAGGGCGAGAAGCAGGGGTACTCAATGGCCTCTGGTCCTTGTAGTTATTTGCAGAGCTTTCTTTTCGCAGACCCATCTGGCTACAGTAGTACATGTCTCAGAAATAGTTTTGTTCCCGTTAAGTCTCCCACAGGAGTTTTCTTGAGCCGGAGCTAGGTCTTTCAACCTGCAAAAGGAAGGAGAAAGCCAACAGCATTTGTCAAAGGCTGAACATATCCACCTGCTTGGCTATTCTTTGCGAGAGAGGGACAGGACTCGCTCTGAGGGCCTTCTGGCGGTTCCCTCACTGTGAAAAGAGAGGTTACAGGGAACCAGGCAGAGGGCCTTCTCAGTAGTGGCGCCCGCCCTGTGGAACGCCCTCCCACCAGATGCCAAAGAAATAAACAACAAACTGACGTTTAGAAGACATCTGAAGGCAGCCCTGTTTAGGGAAGTTTTTAATGTTTGATGTTTTATTGTGTTTTTAATATTCTTCTGGGAGCCACCAAGAGTGGCTGGGGAAACCAAGCCATATGGGTGAAGTTTTAATAATAATAATAATAATAATAATAATAATAATAATAATAATAGTTGTTGTTTGTTTGTTGTTATTACTCACTGCACAATTGCGTTGCCCAGGCTTGCCCATTAGGTGCGATCCTATCACGTGGAATCAAGACTTGTGGTTCTCAAATGTTTTGCCAGTGAGTTTCCCTGGGCTGCAAGAACTTCCTGTGGTTTAACTAAGGTTTCCCCTCATGCTCCCAGTGAACCACAGGAGGAGAACTTGCACGCATTTCTCTTTGAAGGGTGTGGACGTATGCCCCCTTGTTTCTGCCCTTTTGCAAAGAAATTCAAGGCAGTGCAAAACTGTTTCACTTATGTGATGGGATGATGAGCTGCTTGTGCGTAAAACCGTATCCCTTCAGAGTTTGTTCAAGTCCACAAACCTCTGTCTGTGACGGAGCCCCTCAGACATGGCTCCTCTAGTCACTGGCAGATTCCGACAGTGGTTGCTTTGGAATTTCTTCCAACATAAAAGCTCCTTAACGGAAACACGTCTTCTGGACTCTCTGCGTGACAGTTTCCGGCGAGGAGTGGGTGTCCCTACAGGAGGTCCTGAAACCTCCCCACTGTTTTCGCTGGAAGTGTCTCTGAGCCATCCCTCCAGCTCACTTTCCCTCAGCTCAGCTCCTCTCCCCCTCCTGGTTCCCTCTTCAGCTGCTGAGTCTCTCCCCACCTGTGTGAGCCCTTTCACCTCCCTTCCTGCCGATGGCAGTTCCCTGACATCCACCTCCCCTCCAGGGCCCCCTTCCCCCCCTCTCGCCCCCTCCTCTACGGGCGGTGAGGAGGCAAAACCCCGGAATGAACTTCCTTCATCTTCCGATGTCTCGAACACTTCTCTCCACCTGTTGCGGTTCCTGGTCTCGAAGTACTCCTCCTCCTCAGAGTCCATCTCCCCTTCCCCTTCCGAGTCCGGGAATCCTTCCAACTCCTCCTCCTCATCAGTGGTCCCAAAGTATTCCCTCCGGAACCTCTCCACAGGCTGAGGTTTCCTTGGGAACCTTTGATGGAACGTTTCTATCAATACCTCGTCATTGATATCTTCGGCCATTACCCAAGTGTTTTCTGACTCCGGTTCTCCTTCCCACGCTACCAAATACTCCACCTGATCCCCCTTCCACCTGGCGTCGAGGATTTCTGCCACATGGCTGCTGCATTCTCTTTCTTCTATGACCGGTCCCCGAGTGGCCATCCCTTCTCGTCCCCCCTGGTACGGTGACAGTAACGACCTGTGAAATACTGGGTGCAGTTTCATGTGGTTGGGTAACCGGAGCCTGAAAGCCACTGGGTTGACCTGTTGAATGACCTCAAAGGGACCCAACCTCCTGGGTCTTAATTTCTTACAACCTCCTTTGAACGGCAACCCTTGGGTTGACAGCCACACCCTATCTCCCACCCTTATGGTTTCACCTTCCCTTCGGTTCTTGTCTGCCTGCCTCTTGTATTCTTCCTTCGCCCTTTCTAAGTTGAGTTGGAGCTGACGATGGATTGCTTCCATTTCTTCTACAAAATGCTCGGCTGCCGGGACGCTCCATCTCTCCCCTTCTCCCCCTGGGAAAGCCCTGGGATGACACCCATAATTGGCCAAGAAGGGGCTCATCCCTGTGGACACATTCTCGGCATTGTTGTAGGCAAATTCCGCCAGCGCCAACTTTTCTACCCAGTCATTCTCTCTGTCATTGACATAACACCTCAGGTATTGCTGGAGGACACCGTTTGCTCTTTCCGCCTGCCCGTTGGTCTCAGGGTGCCGGGCAGTCGAAAAGTTGACCTCCACCTGCAATAAGCTCATGAGCTTCCTCCAGAACCTGGAAGTAAATTGTTTTCCTCGGTCTGAGACCACCCTCAATGGCACCCCGTGCAACCTAAAAATGTGTTCTACAAATAACTTCGCTGTCTCTTCCGCCGTGACTGCATGCGAGCAAGCTACAAAGTGGCACATCTTTGTTAGTAGGTCTACCACCACCATGATGGCTGTTTTCCCTTTGGACTTCGGCAGATCAGTCATAAAATCTATCGACACTGCCTCCCAAGGTCGTTCTGGGGTTGGTAAGGGTTCTAATAGCCCCGCCGGCGCCCGCCTTTCCCCTTTGGCTCGCTGGCATTGCTCGCACCCTCTTACATACTCACGTACATCTTCCCTCACCTTAGGCCACCAAAATTCCCTGGTGACCAACCACATGGTTTTGTGTTGTCCAAAATGCCCCGCCGTGGGGCTGTCGTGCAACTGCTTGAGTACCCTCCCCCTTAAGTCTCCTTCAGGGATATACAGTGCCCCTTTGTAATACAAAGCTCCATTTCTTTCCTCGAAACCCCCTGGTTCCTCTCCCTCACCCCTAAGACCTCTGAGCTTATTCTGGGCGTATTCATCATTCTCTGTTTCCTCTACCAGTTCTCTTTGTCCCACCAATGCCGCCCCACACACCCAGCGGTCCTCTGGAATGACATGTCTCTCTTCGGGTGCTCCCTCCCCCTCCAAATATTCAGGTTTGCGTGAGAGAGCGTCCGCCCTAATGTTCTCTGGGCCTGGCACGTAACAAATCTCAAAGTTAAATTTGGAGAACTCCTGGGCCCATCTCACTTGCCGTTGGTTGAGCACTCGTGCCGTCCTCCAATACTCTAGGTTCTTGTGGTCAGTGCACACTTGCACCTTATGTTGTGCGCCAATTAGCAGGTGCCTCCATCTCCGGAACGCCTCATGAATGGCTAGTAGTTCTCGGTCATACACCGTGTAGTTCCTCTCGGATTTGTTCAGCTTTCGCGAAAAAAGGCACACGGTCTCCACTCTGACTCCTCCTTCCCTGGCTGCAGAAGCACCGCCCCAATCGCTCTGTCTGATGCGTCAGTTTCCACTCTCATCGGTTTTTGTAAATCCACATGCAGGAGTTGTTGTTCCGAGGCGAAGGCCCTTTTGAGTTCCTCAAATGCTCGCTCCGCCTCCTCAGTCCAACCGAACTTCTTCTTACTGCTGAGACAGTCCGTAATGGGCGCCGTCAGGTGGGCAAAGTTTCGGATGAACTTACGATAGAAGTTCCCAAATCCTAGGAACCTCTGCACATCCTTCCTTGTTTTGGGTGTTTTCCATTCCAGCACCGCCTGGACCTTGCCGGGATCCATGGTCAATCCCTTGTCCGACAGGCGATACCCCAGGAATTCCACCTCCTTGGTATGAAACTGACACTTCTCCAGTTTCACCCACAGCTGGTTGGCTTGCAGCCTGCTCAACACTTCCCTGACGTCTCTCACATGCTGCTCCTCATTCTCAGAATACACCAACACGTCGTCTAAGAAGGCCACACAATTCTTGTAAAGCAAAGGCCCCAGGACGTGGTTCATAACGATTGAAAGCATGCGGAGCCTGCTTGTAATCCGAAGGGCATAACTAAATATTCAAATGCCCCTAAAGGGGTGAACATGGTGGTTTTCCATTCATCCCCCTTCCTTATTCGTATCAGGTTGTACGCCCCCCTTAGGTCCAGCTTTGTGAAAATCTTTCCCTTCCGCACCCTTGTCAAAATGTCGTCAATCCTGGGCATAGGGAAGGCCACTGGTTCTGACACTGCATTTAAGGCCCTGAAGTCACACACCAGCCTCGGCTTGTTCGTGTTTTTATCCACAAAAACACTGGGCTGCCCCCACCGCCCTGGACTCTCTGATGAACCCTCTCTTCAGGTTCTTGTCAATGAACTCTCTTAGCTCCTGCATCTCTCTGTCTGACATGGCGTACAGCTTGCCTACAGGGAGCTGTGCCCCAGGGAGTAAATTGATTTGACAGTCAAAGGGTCTATGCGGGGGTAGTTGGTCAGCTTCCCTTTCGCTGAAGACATCGCGGAGATCTGCGTATTGTCGTGGTACCTTCACGTTCTCCGTTACTTCAGTCCCTGCTAGGGTGGCTTGGGCCCCTGCCAAACCCTTTCCCTCTTTGCAATGTTCTAAGCAATGTGCTGAACCAAAAGAAACCACTCTCTGATGCCAGCCCACCAGCGGATCATGTAACGCTAGCCAGCTCATCCCCAATATAATGGGAGCTCCTCCCAAGGTGGCCACATTAAACGCTATCAGTTCGGTGTGCCTTGCCACCTTCATTATCATTGGGACGGTCTGCAAGCTGACTTCTCCTCCCAACAGCTCCCTGCCATCGATCGTGGTCACCTGCAGGGGGTTGCTTAAAGGGATCGTCTGTATCTGGTGTTCAGCTGCAAACTCTTTGCTCATGAAATTGCAGGAGCTGCCTGAGTCCAACAGCGCCTTTATCTTTAGAGGGTGTCCGTTTGGCAGCTCTAGCGCCACTTCTATCACTAGGGCGGGTTTAGGAGGTTCTGGCGTGGGCACTCTCACTGCTCTTTGGCCTGGCTGCTGTGCCCGACGGTGGCAGCCAGGCGTTGGCTTTTACTTGCTCCGGTATTTCTTCCTCTCTTCCCTCCACAGCTCCTACCATCCCTTGCCATTCCTTCCTCTGGGGGCAGACTCTGGCAAAGTGACCTGGCTGTTGGCAGAGATAGCATTTCCGGGCGCCTTTTCGCTCCTCTTACCCCCCTCACGGGTTTTTGAAACAGCGCGCGCGCGCTGTTCCGATTTCCATCGGCTCTGCCGGCGGGAAAGTTGGCTCTGGAATGTCTGGAATGCGTAACTCCTTCCAACGTTCCCCCTTCCCTTCCCGCCTCTCCAATGCTCTCGCCTCCTGGCGCGCTCCTATGGTCAGCGCTGATTTGGTCAGCTGGTCCATAGACTCCGCCCTGGGCGCCCGGGAAAGTTCGTCTTTCACAGCCGAAGAAAGCCCTTCTTCAAAGAGCATTTGAATGGGTTCCGCCGATAAGTCCCACCCCAATCTGTGAACCAGCATGGTGAACTCAGTCCAGTACTCACGGACAGATCGGCTCCCCTGTTTGCAAGCCATTAACTGTCTGCGCACCACTCCCTGTTCAATATCGCTGGAAAACATCAGATCCATGGCGCGAAAGAACTTCATCGTGTCCTTTAGGAGGTCACTATTCGCTGCCATCAGGGGTCTAACCCAGTCTCTCGCCCCCTTTTCAAGATGCCCAATCACGAAAGCCACTCGTGATTCCTCGTCAGGGAATTCATCAAACTGCAGATTGAGAGCATATTGCATCTCTGTCCGAAAGCCATGATAGTCTTTGGGCTCCCCCCCAAACTTCTGCACCAATCCTGGTACCTTTCTGTCGAGCTGGGTGGCTTTCCCTTGTTGTCTGCATCCTGAGCCCTCCTCTCCTCAAGCCTCGCCGTCTGCAGCGCTAGCTGGACCTCCAACACCCGGTACCTTTCTTCCAGGCTTGGACCCGCTCCAGCTCCTGCTTCTCCGGTTCCGGCTGGGTTGCTCATGATGCCTTCTCCTGCACAAGCTGCTTTCAAAGACTGTCGGAATGCTGTGATGGGATGATGAGCTGCTTGTGCGTAAAACCGTATCCCTTCAGAGTTTGTTCAAGTCCACAAACCTCTGTCTGTGACGAGCCCCTCAGACATGGCTCCTCTAGTCACTGGCAGATTCCGACAGTGGTTGCTTTCGAATTTCTTCCAACATAAAAGCTCCTTAACGGAAACACGTCTTCTGGACTCTCTGCGTGACAGTTTCCGGCGAGGAGTGGGTGTCCCTACAGGAGGTCCTGAAACCTCCCCACTGTTTTCGCTGGAAGTGTCTCTGAGCCATCCCTCCAGCTCACTTTCCCTCAGCTCAGCTCCTCTCCCCCTACTGGTTCCCTCTTCAGCTGCTGAGTCTCTCCCAACCTGTGTGAGCCCTTTCACCTCCCTTCCTGCCGATGGCAGTTCCCTGACAACTTATTTCCACAATAACCTTGTGAGGCATTTATTTACTATATATTAAATTTGTGAGTCACTTTATTTTGCCTAGGGCAACTAAAAGCAACTTACAAACAAACAAAACCCCTCACTAGGATACATTAAAACCAAGAGGAAAAAGAAATACATTTTTAAAAACCCATCCTGCCCACTTCTAAAAGGCCACAGACCAAACACAGAATTTGCTGAGAGAGACTGGTGCAAGATTACCTAGTGAGCTTCACAAGTGAGCACCAGGTAGTTCAGAGGTGCCTTTGGCATCTTTCATTATATATACAGCTTCTGGTGGATGCAGAAGAGTCACCTCTACCTTGGTTTCTGACATTCGAAGGGTATATTTTTAGGACCCACCTTATTTCTGTGGTCGTAAGTTGTTTTCAACTGTGTTTTAATGTAACTCACCTTGGGACTTTAGGGTACACTAAAACGGTGTATTTTGACAGGTGTCAATGACCTGATGTGATTAGCATGGCATAAGACTGAGCAGAGGATTTGGGGAGATGAAGATCTGGTCCTCCTCCCCCCTCTCTGCAGAGTAAGATGAGATACTCACAGTTTGTCATCTAATGGGGAGCCGTCCACCCAGGTCCATTTCCAGTCAGGAGGTGTGGCTTGTAATCCAATCCAAAGCAGTGGATATTGGGTATTACGCAGTATAAAGTCCTTGTATTCGCTAAGACGTACATGGAACACAAGAACTTCTATTTGGTCATTACGTATATAAGAACTAGTCTATTTGTATTTCCTGTCCTAAATGTTGCTGCTTACTTGCTTCTACTCAATTAGATAATGTGAAAAGAGTTATGCTTATATGATGTATAAAGAATTTATATAGTTAAACACAGCCAGTTACATTGTGGGTATACAGTGGTACCTCTGGTTAAGTACTTAATTTGTTCTGAAGGTCCGTTCTTAACTTGAAACTGTTCTTAACCTGAAGCACCACTTTAGCTAATGGGGCCTCCCACTGTCGCAATTTCTGTTCTCATCCTGAGGTAAAGTTCTTAACCCGAGGTACTATTTCTGGGTTAGCTGAGTCTGTAACCTGAAGTGTATGTAACCTGAAGTGTATGTAACCCAAGGTACCACTGTATTTGTTTGGGAAGAGGATAGGGACAAAGCGACAATTAGTTGGCTCAGCCTCTCTTTGACTGTGGCTCCCTCTCTCTGTGGTCTTCCCGCCTTCTACCCCGCCCCCAGTCCCAAAAGGCAGCAGCCCCCATTTTTTTGATATGTGTTCCTTGAGCCTTATTGAGAAACAACACTCCAGTTACCTGCTGAGCTGTTTTCAAGCGGCTTACAGAAAAATTGCTGCAGCGAAGTCACATTCTCTAGGCATAGATTATTTTCCATTTCACCCTGAGGGACACAGGATTTCTCCAGTTCACCCATGAGGTTCCATGTCTGAAAACCTTCATATAAGGAGGTTAATTTTAAGTGATCAACAAACTGCGAAGAAATTCACAGACTGTTTAGTGTTTTTTGTTATGGTACCTAATTGTTTTCCTCTTCCTTTCTTGAATCCAGTGTTCCCCATGGATTTTCCCTTCATCGTTGAAATAAAGCGTGTTTGTTGTTTTTTAATTAAAAGAGAATATCACAGTATGTCCTTTAAGATAACAGCTCATGTTCGGAAAGACTGCCTGCAACTTTCTAATATTTAGAACTCATGTATGATCAATTGTTCAAGACAAATCTTTAGGCTGTGAAAACCAGACAAACCAATTTTTGACAATAACTTAAATGGCCAGACACTGAGCCACTCAAGAACAACTGCAGTCACACTTTCTGTCAACTCACTACACTGCATAGGTGCCAACTCCCTAAGGTCCTGGGTGCCCAAGCACCCACAAAATTACCCATGAAGGGGCCGGGCACCCACAAATTTTGGTGCACGCTGCATGGCACCCACGGCCCCAGACACCCACAGTCGTGGGGCTAAGCTGGTACAGCTACTACACTGTGACACCTTTATTTGTTCACAAGCAGTAAACAGGAAACAAAGCCAAAAAATGTTGTTGTTGTTGTTGTTTTCCCTTGTTAGTTTATTGCAATGTGAACCAGTTACAGCTACCTCGGTTTTCAAACACAATGCATTCCGGAAGTCCGTTCAAGTTCCGAAACGTTTGAAAACCAAAAACTGAAAACGGAAGCCTCAACACAGAAAACTCAAAACAGAAGCTGCATTTCCTGTTCAACTTCCGAGGCACATTCGAAAACTGAGGCAATTGCTTCCGGGGATTCGACGTTCGAGTTCCAAATCGTTCGACTACGGAGGTGTTCGAAAACCAAGGTACCCCTGCATTATGAATTCTTGACACATGGAACTTCTGAACATATAACCTGTTTTTATGTCACAGCTCAATACAGTAAGATAAAATCTGTTTATACGAAATACTCTGTTGGCTTTATTGAAAAAACATTCTAAAGTACAAAAATACCCTGACCTGTTCCTTTTTGTACAATTTTTTGAGTAGAATGCAATGGTTTTGGCAGGGCGTGGCACATTCCCTGTTTCACCTCTGAGGCAAAATGGAACAGGCCACCTTTGCTCCTACAGATTGCTGCCAAATTATGTTTTGACTATTAATGAAGGCCTTCCTATTTCATCAACCCCTTTGAGCATAGATTTTCATTGCAGCCTGTATCTGTGTTGGATTTGAAATGGGTTTTATATTTGTCTTTAATTGTTTCATATTTGAAATCTCTGCCATAGCTGTTGCTGTTTTAAATGGTTGGTGAAACGGTGAAATCTGCTATGATTAAATGGGCACAAGACGTTGGACACAACATTATGTTCGCTGACTGGGAACAGTTATGGACCACAGGTATGAAATTTACGGCATGTAATGCCCTAAGAGAGAATATTATGAAAATGATATACAGGTGGTACATAACCCCAGTCAAGCTTGCAAAAATCTATCATTTGCCCGATAATAAATGTTGGAAATGTAAAGAAACTGAAGGTACATTCTTTCACCTTTGGTGGACGTGCCCAAGGATTAAGGCTTTCTGGGAAATGATATATAATGAATTAAAAAGGTATTTAAATATACCTTCTTGAAGAAACCAGAGGCCTTTCTCCTGGGCATAGTCGACCAATCGGTGTTAAAAAAGGATAGAACTTTCTTTATGTACGCAACAACAGCAGCAAGAATACTCATTGCAAAGTATTGGAAGACACAAGAGCTACCCACACTGGAGGAATGGCAGATGAAACTGATGGACTATATGGAATTGGCGGAGATGACTGGCAGAATCCGTGACCAGGGAGAAGAGTCGGTGGAAGAAGATTGGAAGAAATTCAAAGATTATTTACAGAAATACTGCAAAATTAAAGAATGCTAGAATGATGTTGGATTGAAATTAAGTGGTTTCTAGCTGCACAGGCTTTAAAGTTATATACAGATTAAGATTAAGGATTAGGAATAAAAAGGTTAAAAGAATGGAAAATTAGCTATTAATAGATAAAAATTTAATGTTATATTATATTATATTAAGATTAAGGATTGGGATTAAAAAAAGAGGGAAAGGAATTGCTGGACAAACAAACGGAATTGGAATAACAAAGAGGGAGGTATGAGGACGTCCAGAAAATAAGTAAATTCAAAAGTAGTGATGAAAAGATGGAATTGTTTTTAACTGGTTTTTTTTTTTTTCTTTTTGTATTTTGTATTGTGTATTTTTCTTTTTACTTTTAAATTCTTTTTATTGATGTGTCTCTTTTTATCTGAAACTTTAATAAATATCATTTAAAAAAAAATGGTTGGTGGTTCTATTGTTAAGTCACTTCACAAGAAACAACCTATAAATGGAAATAACTATGGGACGTCCGGGGAGGTGCCTCCGGTAATGGCGGAATTTCTCTGACCGGGAGGAATCTGCTCCGTGGGAATCTGGGTCTGGCCGCCACGGCGAAGGCGGAGACCCGTTAAAATCACAGGCGGGAGAAGCCTGTGAGCGTGGGATTCGGCGGGCACCTTTGCGCCTCCCCCACTCGCGGGGAACCCCGGTTTTTGGGGCTCCGGAGCGACGTGGGGTGAGTGGCGTGGTGCATCGAATCGTCTGCTTCTTCCACGGAGCGAAGCCGCATAGCTGTTGCCGGAGAGCGCTGACCTTTTCCTGTGGACAATTGACTTTAAAGGAATTACCCGTGAGTAGATCTGAAATGGAAGAATTGGATTTCTAAATGTTTAATTTGGTATCGCAACGGGGAGGTTCAAAACAGGAAGTCCGCCTTCCCCTTTTGTAAATAGACTGAGGCAATGAAGTTGCAAGCTGGAGTCCTGGAAAGTCTTTTGTAAAAGATTAAATTTCCATCAATAAAGAACATTAAACCCCCTCTTGGAGGCAGGAGAAGAGAGGGGGAAGTTGCGGATTGATTATACCTGTGGGAGAGAGTGAAGAGATTTAAAACACCGCTGCTCTGACCCTGGAAACGGGCTGCTAGTAGGACTGACGTCTTTTGGAATGTTCATTGACAGTGTTTAGAATGTTCATTGACAGCTAGTTAAACAAGAGAAATACATTGTTTCTACTGTCTCCGGCTGCTTTAAAAAGGAGTAAAAGTAACTGAAAATTGAAACCAATTTGAAACTAATTTTGGATTGTTGAAAAGAGGATACTATTGACTATTACAAATAGAAACTGTTTCCCCTAGTGGAAGCCTTTGAAACCGGTTGTTTGACAAGAGCTGGGATAGGGGAATTTCCAGCTGCAAGTTAAAAACCGTGAGACTCTGGGACTGACCTTGAATCTTTTAAGTGTTATGGTAAATGGAAGAGGAAAAACAGACCAGTCAACTGCTGACAAAACATTCAGGTCTGGGAGGATTTGGCAACAATCCAGAAGAGGTTTATCATCAGGCCCCCCCTGCTCCTTCTGTTGCTGCCTTTGTACCAGCATATTTAAAACCAAGAAGAATGTCGACAGAAAAGGCTTTAGTGGCTGCATTTTATAAGATAAATGACTCATTGGATCAGCTTAACAGGAAAATGGACATCATAAATGTGAAAATGGATGTTTCAATTACTAAAATCAACCTAAATACAGAAAGTATAAATAATACCAATACAGAAACTACCCAGAAATTGATACAGGAACCTACTTTGATACGGCAAACTGTGGAGGAAGCCAGGGAGGAGGCTGTTGTTGCTGAATGTAAAGTGACACAACTGGAGAGAAAGAGAAAGAGAGCCCTAGCCCTACGGAGGCAACTTGATGAACATGGGTTGACGCTTGCTATGACTGAACTTAAAGAAAAACAGACGAATTTGAGGATTAGAGTTCACTTTTGGTGGACATGCCCAAGGATTAAGACACTTTGGGAGATGATTTATAACGAAATGAAAAAGGCATTTAAATATACCCTCTTGAAGAAGCCAGAGGCCTTTCCTTTCTCCTGGGCATGGTCGGCCAATTGATGTTAAAGAAGGATAGATTTTTTCCACGTATGCAACAATAGCAGCAAGAATATTCATTGTGAAGTACTGGAAGACACAAGATTTATCTATTCGGGAAGAATGGCAGATGAAGTTGATGGACTATAGGGAATTGGCGGAAACGACTGGCAGAAATCCGAGACCAGGGAGAAGAGTCAGTGGAAGAAGACTGGAAAAAGTTTAGGACTATTTATAGAAATATTGTAAAAATAATGAATGTAAGAAAAATGTTGGAATGAAGTTATATGGCTCTAGTAGAAATGCTATAAGGAATTAAGTATAAATAGATTAATAGAGTATTAAAGGGAAAAATAAGGTCAAAATATGTTAAGATAATTATAGGATAAAAACAGAGGAAGATGGAAAGGAATTTCTGAAACAATTAATAGAAGTGGAATACAAAAAGGGAGGTGTGAGGAGGTCGTGGAAATAAGGGAATGAAAGATAAGATATTGAAATTGTTTTGTGTGTTAAATGGTTTGTGTCTTATTTTGTTATGCTTTTTTTGTCTATTTTGTTGTGTTTAAATGGTTGAAAATTAATAAATATTATTAAAAAAAATAAATATATATATAAATGGAAATAACTAACTAACTAACTAACTAACTAACTAACTAACTAACTAAAAGTCCTCTGTACTTACACAGGGCTATCACGGTGACCCCTAGGATGACATTTACAGCCCATCCAATCCAGAGAGCAGTCCATCGCCCCTGAGAATGTGGTGAGGCACCTGTAAATTTGACTTTATTAATACTAGGTTCCTCAACACAAGGGTACAGAACCTCAGACCTGAAGCCCAAACCTGGCCCTCAAGGCTTCTCTGTGTGCCCTCCCCTTGTGACCCCCCCCTTTTCCCAGGCTCAAACCCCTCCAGCCCTGCTCAACGCTCCTAGAGTGCTTTTGCTCGGCTGAAATGTGTCCCTGGGGATTTCCACAATTTGCAAGATGAGAAAACACTCCTGAAATTAATAGTTATTTAACATCATATCCATATCACGGCAATACCTTTACACTCGGCAATACACCCGCAGCAGCGCGCGTCTGCGCACGCGCAGGTTGCGACCCGGCACTTCTGCGCATGCACAAAGTGCAATTTAGCGCATCTGCTAAAACCCAGAAGTAACCCTTTCAAGTACTTCCGGGTTTCAGCAGTCCGCAACCCAAAAAAATGCAACCTGAAGCTTCTGTAACCCAAGGTATGACTGTATTTGGCAAAGCAAAATGCTACAAAGTAGTGTTAAAGCCTTTGAGTTCTCCAGAATTCTTCATCAGTCTGGATTTGAAAAAGGCAGATGGGAGGGGGGGGAGGGAGGGAGACGGCTGGTGTTATTTCGAACCATCTATGCTTGAATAATTGTATTCAGAAGCAGAAATATAGCTATTTTTTGTTCATTACAAAGTTTTGGACAGGTCCTTGGAGCTTTTCCTAATCAATTGAAATGTGTTGACAAGGGTCAGGGTTGGAGATGGGTTAGGGTTAAGGTTGGATCTAGGATTAGGGTTAGGGTTAAATGTAGTGTTAGGGTTGGGTTTAGAGTTAGGGTTGGGTTTATGGTTAGGGTTACAGGTAGGGTTAGGGTTAAGGTATGAGGTATGAGGTAGGGTTGGGGTTAGTATTAGTGTTGGTTCTAGGGTTAGAGGTAGAGGGTAGGAATAGGGGTTGGGTTGGAGTTAGGGTTGGAGGTAGGGTGAGGGTTAAGGTTGGAGGTAGGGTTAGGGTTGGGTTTAGGGTCAGTGTTAGTTTTAGGGTTAGGGTTGGCATTAAGGGTTAGGAGTAGGGTTGGGGTTAGGGTTAGCATTGGTGTTAGGATTAGGTGGTGCTTTTTTTTCATGGGGTACTCAAGGGTAGCAGTTCGAAATCACATCAAAGTGCAAGTAGATAAATAGGTACCGCTCCGGTGGGAAGGTGAACGGCGTTTCCATGCGCTGCTCTGGTTCGCCAGAAGCGGCTTAGTCATGCTGGCCACATGACCCGGAAGCTGTACGCCGGCTCCCTCGGCCAATAAAGCGAGATGAGCGCCGCAACCCCAGAGTCAGTCATGACTGGACCTAGTGGTCAGGGGTCCCTTTACCTGTACCTTTACTCAAGGGTACACAGTACCAGAACCTCTTTTTGTTTTTGTTGTTAAAAAAACTGCAACAACTTCATGGTGAGTACGGCACCTCTCTTATTTTGGTTATAGAAAATGTGACATTTACTGTAACAAGTTCATCGTAAGTACCAGCCCCTATTTTTCTAGGGGGGGAAGCACTGAATATGCTCAAAGAAGAAGCAGTTCTGCTGCACCAGAGGTATAGAAACAAGGTTTAATTTAGCAAGGTCTGACCGTGTCCTTCCTTTCACACGCTGATCTCTGGAACTGTAGGTTAAAGAGGTTACATGTGATTCTTTATTTAGTGGGTTTGCATTTATACAATGCAACCACAGTGCCTGCAAATGGGAGCTTATCATCGGGGGAAGGGCACCACCTTTTAACCCTTTCCCCCCTGCATTTATTCCACTGAGGGCAGGGCATATAGCTAGGGATGGGCAAATTTGTCCATTTCAGTTTCTTAGTTTTCCATTTTTCCAGTCCACATTTCCATATCTGTTTGCTGGTGAAAAAATAACCAGCATTTCAGTGTGACTTTCTCCTAATATACATGCTTTTGCAAAATATACACATATTTGCAAAATAATTTCCCCTAATATAATGCCTTGTTATTGTCACAAATATGTGCATTTTAATGCACACTTTTACCCCAGTACATACATTTTTGTACAAACATTACTTGTGTACAAAAATGTATGATGCTTTGTTTATTGTTTATGACAAATGAATTGTAGTTGTGCAATTAAGCAAACTGAGAATTCTTCAGCATCTTAGTCTGATTTTTTCCATAATAGGCACATTTCTGTATTCCATTTTAAAAAATGCACATTTTGCCTAGCATTTTTTCTAATGCAACGCATGTTATGCCATGTATATGAACTCTTCACCCTGACATTACTACACATTCCTCAGCTGCAGGACTGAACTGCAAAATTCAGAAAAGGGCACATTTCAAAGGATGGCTGTTTCTGAAAGTGTAGATCGGGTAAGCTTGCCTCCAAATGCAAACTGAACTGAATTTCTCCCCATCCCTAGTTCTGATGTTCTTATGCCACCAACGTTAAGAACTAGATAGCTTGCATTGCTTTACTTCCCTCAAGAAGGCTTGTCATTTCCCCCTGCTCTTTTATTATCATATATTTGCTTATTAAATTTGTATGTGTTTTGAGAGTCTTCTGTTGGGCAGATAAGCAGGATATAAGTTTTAGAATAAATAAAATATAGGAACTGGACAGGGTGGCAGTAGGGAACCTGAAGCCTTTCGGATGTTTCCAGATTACCGTTTTCTTCATTCCTGCCTATTGACCATGCTGACTAGGGCTGATAGGAGCTGTGGTCCAACAATATTTAAGGAGGATATTGAGAAGCTAGAACGTGTGGGGAGGAGGGAAACCGAGATGGTCAAGGGTCTGGAAACAAAGGCTTAGGAGGAAGGGTTGAAGGAGCTGGGTATGTGGGAAAGAGGAGACTGAGAGGATAGACATCTTCAAATATCTAAAGGCCTGTCCCGTGGAAGATGGAGCAAGTTTGTTTTAACCCAGGGGTCAGCAAACTTTTTCAGGAGGGGGCCGGTCCACTGTCCCTTAGACCTTGTGGGGGGCCAGACTATATTTTTTGGGGGGGGAATGAACAAATTCTTATGCCCCACAAATAACCCAGAGATGCGTTTTAAATAAAAGGGCAATTTTTCTACTCATGTAAAAACACGCTCATTCCCAGATTGTTTACGGGCCGTATTTAGAAGGCTATTGGGCTGGATCCGGCCCCCGGGCCTTAGTTTGCCTACCCATGTTTTAACCTGTTCCAGAGGCTAGAACTTGAACCAGTGGCTTCAAGTTACAAGAAAGGAGATTCCAACTAAACATCACCAAGAACTTTCTGACAGTAAGAGCTGTTTGACAGTGGACCATACTCCCTAGGAAGGTGGTGGACTCTTTCCTGGGAGGATTTTGAGCAGAGGTTGGATGGCCACTTGTCATGGATGCTTTAGTTGAGATTCCTGCATTGCAGGGGGTTGGACTAGATGACCCTTGGTGTCCCTTACCTCTCTACAGTTCTATGATTCTATGAATATCTGAATGGGGATTAAACTGGGGAAAACTGGATTAGATACTAGCAAAATGAGCACTGCTTTTGTTTGTCTGAAATCCTTTTCGGCTTCCCTTTTATTTTAATTTAAAATATTGCTGAAGTGATGGAATAAAAGGAAACACCTTGGCAGAATTCGACTGATCCCTGTGTTGTATAAATATAAGTTTGTAGGGATGTACAAAGAAATTATCTAAGAAATATGTAACTGTGCGGTATAAAGTAATGGATAGACAAAGTACAGTGAGATTAATTGGAAGTCAGTTTTAAATTTATTCTCTAGAAGTTTTATAATTGTGTTCAATACCAGGAGTATATATGCTGATAATTATATTAATCTTCTTATAACTTATTGTGTGGTGGTTTGTTTGATTTTTCTGTTATTTGTTTGTTTTGATTGTATGTTTGCTTACTTATATGCACGTCTGTTTTTCATAAATGTATTTATTTTAGATTAATAAAGATATGAAAATGAAATATTGCTGAAGTGCCCATCTTTATAGCAACCCTCTACAGTTAGTTATTTTGACTAACTACTGTACATGCTCACACAAAAGGCAACACTCCCTCCTTCTGTGGCTACATTTGCTCTAAAAATATTTCAGCCCCTGCAGACCTGCTGTTTTTCCGTGCTGTAAGTAACAGCTTGGAGCCTTGCGAAAAAACATCCTCTCCCCACTCCCCAACATTAAAACTTACCTGATCCTTGCGAGGGGTGAAGCAGCCTGGCAGAGGTTGGAGCTGAAGGGAGAGCAAGGTCAACATAGATAGAGCCATCTGTCATTCCGCTGGAAGCAAAGAAGGCCAAGAGATTGTGTGTGATATGGAACAACCTAGCTGCTGCAAGGGAAGTGTATATATTAGTCAAGCCGGCCAACCAATGTAATTCGTTGAAGGAAGCGCTGCTGCTAACCAATGTAGTTGAAGTCAGGTTTTTTGTTTTCTGGTCTTTGAAAAACTGAAGCAGAGCTTCCTGGTGCAGAAAGGTGAGGGTAACAAGAATCCAGATGGTTCCTTTTTCTTCCTCATCAAAATAGATGTCTGCCTTTTATTTTATTTATTTAGCAAGATTCACACACCGCTTATTTAAAAAACATCTTTAAGTGGCTCATTAAAAACAGCAATAAGAAAAAAGAAGCAATAAGAAAAGAAACTGAAATCAGCACAGATAAATTGCCGAAATGTGGATAAAATCAACCAGTTTAATGTGCACTTAAAAAGAAATTTACATGGTAAAAGTTCATGTCTGGTTAGTAATTATTTTATTTATTTATTTATACATATATACATACATAAATACACACATACATACATCTTCTTTGGCGATCACTCGTAGCAGAATAAGATTGTCTTCCATAAACACGGTTTTAACAATGAGTCCATAAGTGATTGTGAGGGCCAATTCTGGATCCACACGTCCTTCCACAGTGGGGAAATTGGTTTCCGGGTGGGAGTTGATCACGGTGTGGATTTGCCAAGCGTGCCTTCCTCCTAGCACATTTCTCCCTTGCGTCCTGAGTTCGA